CTCATTCCTCACTTGCACATTTTGGAGTACGTGCGTTGGAGTCTTGCGTGGGGAGCTGCGTTGTGCCATCTTGCTCCCCCTTCTTCCTCCATCTCCATCTCTGTCACTAGCGGAGCACCACACCTGGTGGGTCCGCTACAGGTTTCGTGTTGCCTTGCCATGGGATGATGAATGGGTCTGTTGAGGGAATCTTGACTTTCTGTTGTGATCTTATTATGCTCTTTGTCATATTTGGAAGTTTGAGTTGGCTGGTGTGCGGTAACCTTCCCCCCAACCCTATAACCATGCTTCGCCACTTTCGCGTGATTGGCGGCCTTCGACCGTATTGGCCTTAGTTTTTGCCACCACAGATGGACGCACGAGTGGTCTTACCCCGCTGCGGTGATATCTCGCCCCCCGCATTGTTTACCTTGCGCCCAGTGTGCTGGCGGAACGAAGCCGGAGCAATGCAGGTATGACGTGTCGTACTCGTACGAACCACATGTGACACACACATGCAACACACACACACAAATACACACGCGCGCGCGCGCACACACACACACACACACACACACACACACACACACACACACAGAGGCATACACACAGCGCTGTGTGGAGCTGGTGCCTCTGTTGTTCCGGGTATCTTTCGGCTGATTGCATCCAGAGTGTGAGGCCGTACTCACAGTGGCACCATCGTAAATGTATCTGACTGCATTTATAGCCAGACGTGGATGTATCTGTCTGCAATAACATTGGAAAAAAGGTAAAAAAAGAAGTAAAGAAGTCCTAGTGCGAGTAGAGTTCGTTGATGGAGCTTTTCGCCACGTGGCCTTTTGTTTTCTTGCTTGCATTTGGAGTATTTTGGAGCATTTCTTTTCCTTTTTAAATCAGAATGAATCTTCTGGTAGAACATGAGAATGGATCATTGCCGTAAGGGAAGGGTATCAATGTGCAGCCTTTAGGGATCAGTCAACCCCAAGGTAAAAACTCAAATGTCCATGGCCCCAGAGATTGCAATTCTGTTTCAAGGGACGCTGGACCCGGTTTCCAGCAGGTGGCGCTCCCCACCAATAGATGGAGCAGCCCGAATGGGCAAGCCTTCAATCCTGGTGGCTCTCTTACCGCCGGGATAGTGGGCTTGCAAAAGGGCTTTTTCAACAACAACAACAACAACAACAAAAAAAAAAAAAAAAAAAAAGAATGGATCATCTGGTAGAACATGATAAGATACACCGCTATGTTTTGTGTTTTGCTGCATGGAAAAGAAAAGCGGGTGAATCAGGGCGTCCCTCCACCACTCCACAATTGTGCAAAATGAGAATGAATCTTCTGCTAGAACATGGTACGATACACCTACATGTTTTCTGGATTTTGTTGGCTGAAAAAAGAGGTGGGCAAATTAGGGTGTCTTTCCATCACCACCACTCTCGGCATGCACAAAAGACAAAAATCATGGTTGTGTCTCTTTCCATGTTCTATTAGAGGATTCACTCTCGTTTTGCACATGTCGAGAATAGTGGAGCGAGGCCCAACAATTGTCCAAAATGCGAATGAATCTTTTGCTAGAACATGGTAAGATACAATGCTGTATGTCCTCTGTTTTGTTGCATTGTGGACCAGCGGAGCAAGGCCCCTACACCCGGGGCCCAAAAAAGAACTTCCTGGCGGAAAAAAAAAAAAAAGATTGTCGTGGGCATTGGAAATCCGAATGCAATCGGCGGAGGGACTACGGTAGCTGCGTTAATTCGGCGCTAATCGCGACGAGCGCTAAGCGTCGCTTCGGCGGGCTTACCGCCTAAACGCAATTAGGGCTAGAATGGAGTGCCGTCAACTTCCGAGCTTTCTTAGGCGAAGCGCTCGCGCCATCCCTGCACTAAGTAGAGGAAGTAGAGGTTCAAGTAGGGACATAGGTAAGGGATTAGGGGATCGAGCTATGACCCCTATTACCTTTATTGGGTGTGCAAGAAAGAGATAAGGAAGGGAGGCGGAGGGGAAGGGGAGAAAAGGTAGGAGGAAGAAAAAAGGTCTGTTACATGAGAAAGGAGTTTCTGGCTGAGGATAAACGGACAACAGTTGACGCTCAAGTGGACATAGCTGCTGTACTCAAGAACGGAGCGAACGTCATCCTTCCTCCCCCAGTCAAGCATCTCCCCCCTCCCCCCCCCCCCCCCCCCCCCCCCCCCCCCCCCCCCCCCCCCCCCCCCCCCCCCCCGCCGGGTGAGGGACGTTATGCCCCTACCGCGACCTCAAGAGAGGTTTTCTGGCTCTTTTTGACTTATTCCCTCTTATGGAAGCTTCATTACTCACATATATTAACTACCTACTGTACTCAATAATTCCTGTTGCTGCCTTTTTTAAATTTTAAGACGTTTTTCCTCATCTGGATTTGTGACCCCGTAATTGGAATCATTACCATGCCGGAAGGCTGACGCTGAAGACACTCCTCCCCCACCTGCGATGAATCCGGAAGAGGAAGAGAAAAGAAGACTCCTAGGAATTCTTGAAAGTGGTTACAACGAAGGCCTCCTCCCAGAGGGTTTGAACTTTGAAAATATAGAGACAATGTAGTTGAAGATGACGTCTCACAGCATACTACACTGCCAACAGCGAATGGGGATCACTCCCAGAGACACTCTATGCAGGTGGGAGACAATGTAGTTGAAGATTACATCTCACAGCATACTACACCACCAACAGCGCATGGGGATCACCCCCAGAGGACCGCACTGGGTAGCTGCATAGAGTGTTGGGTTAACGACTACCCTCACTGGCATCTTGGACCAAATCGAGGTGGGAGAAGACTACGTCTGGGTCTGGGTAGTCGTTAACCCAACACTCTATGCAGCTATGCAGTGCAGAAAGAATGACTAAGTGAAGCGATGTTTCCGTCCTTTTAGGTAAAGGTCCCAAATCCCCGCCAGTCTCAGTCAGAATACGATTGATCCGTATATATGAGAATGCATGGGCAAAGAGCGGGGCAATTAGTGCTCCGCCGAAAAAGGGTGTTTTTCACAATGAAGGATTCAATTTAGTAATGTATGTCGCGTCCGCCAAAGAAATAGCTACATGGATGCTAAG